GCTCCTCCCCTTCAGTCTCGCACAGGTGTACCAGCTCCTCCCCTTCAGTCTCACACTGATGTACCGCCTCCTCCCCTCCAGTCTCGCACAGGTGTACCGGCTCCTCCCCTCCAGTCTCGCACAGGTGTACCGGCTCCTCCCCTCCAGGCTCGCACAGTTGTACCGGCTCCTCCCCTCCAGGCTCGCACAGGTGTACCGGCTCCTCCCCTCCAGGCTCGCACAGGTGTACCGGCTCCTCCCCTCCAGGCTCGCACAGGTGTACCGGCTCCTCCCCTCCAGGCTCGCACAGGTGTACCGGCTCCTCCCCTCCAGTCTCGCACAGGTGTACCGGCTCCTCCCCTCCAGTCTCGCACAGGTGTACCGGCTCCTCCCCTCCAGTCTCGCACAGGTGTACCGGCTCCTCCCCTCCAGTCTCGCACAGGTGTACCGGCTCCTCCCCTCCAGTCTCGCACAGGTGTACCGGCTCCTCCCCTCCAGTCTCGCACAGGTGTACCGGCTCCTCCCCTCCAGTCTCGCACAGGTGTACCGGCTCCTCCCCTCCAGTCTCGCACAGGTGTACCGGCTCCTCCCCTCCAGTCTCGCACAGGTGTACCGGCTCCTCCCCTCCAGTCTCGCACAGGTGTACCGGCTCCTCCCCTCCAGTCTCGCACAGGTGTACCGGCTCCTCCCCTCCAGTCTCGCACAGGTGTACCGGCTCCTCCCCTCCAGTCTCGCACAGGTGTACCGGCTCCTCCCCTCCAGTCTCGCACAGGTGTACCGGCTCCTCCCCTCCAGTCTCGCACAGGTGTACCGGCTCCTCCCCTCCAGTCTCGCACAGGTGTACCGGCTCCTCCCCTCCAGTCTCGCACAGGTGTACCGGCTCCTCCCCTCCAGTCTCGCACAGGTGTACCGGCTCCTCCCCTCCAGTCTCGCACAGGTGTACCGGCTCCTCCCCCTCAGTCTCGCACAGGTGTACCGGCTCCTCCCCCTCAGTCTCGCACAGGTGTACCGGCTCCTCCCCCTCAGTCTCGCACAGGTGTACCGGCTCCTCCCCCTCAGTCTCGCACAGGTGTACCGGCTCCTCCCCCTCAGTCTCGCACAGGTGTACCGGCTCCTCCCCCTCAGTCTCGCACAGGTGTACCGGCTCCTCCCCTCTCAGTCTCGCACAGGTGTACCGGCTCCTCCCCTCCAGTCTCGCACAGGTGTACCGGCTCCTCCCCTCCAGTCTCGCACAGGTGTACCGGCTCCTCCCCTCCAGTCTCGCACAGGTGTACCGGCTCCTCCCCTCCAGTCTCGCACAGGTGTACCGGCTCCTCCCCTCCAGTCTCGCACAGGTGTACCGGCTCCTCCCCTCCAGTCTCGCACAGGTGTACCGGCTCCTCCCCTCCAGTCTCGCACAGGTGTACCGGCTCCTCCCCTCCAGTCTCGCACAGGTGTACCGGCTCCTCCCCTCCAGTCTCGCACAGGTGTACCGGCTCCTCCCCTCCAGTCTCGCACAGGTGTACCGGCTCCTCCCCTCCAGTCTCGCACAGGTGTACCGGCTCCTCCCCTCCAGTCTCGCACAGGTGTACCGGCTCCTCCCCTCCAGTCTCGCACAGGTGTACCGGCTCCTCCCCCTCAGTCTCGCACAGGTGTACCGGCTCCTCCCCCTCAGTCTCGCACAGGTGTACCGGCTCCTCCCCCTCAGTCTCGCACAGGTGTACCGGCTCCTCCCCCTCAGTCTCGCACAGGTGTACCGGCTCCTCCCCCTCAGTCTCGCACAGGTGTACCGGCTCCTCCCCCTCAGTCTCGCACAGGTGTACCGGCTCCTCCCCCTCAGTCTCGCACAGGTGTACCGGCTCCTCCCCCTCAGTCTCGCACAGGTGTACCGGCTCCTCCCCCTCAGTCTCGCACAGGTGTACCGGCTCCTCCCCTTCAGTCTCGCACAGGTGTACCGGCTCCTCCCCTTCAGTCTCGCACAGGTGTACCGGCTCCTCCCCTTCAGTCTCGCACAGGTGTACGGGCTCCTCCCCTTCAGTCTCTCGCACAGGTGTACGGGCTCCTCCCCTTCAGTCTCGCACAGGTGTACGGGCTCCTCCCCTTCAGTCTCGCACAGGTGTACGGGCTCCTCCCCTTCAGTCTCGCACAGGTGTACCGGCTCCTCCCCCTTAGTCTCGCACAGGTGTACCGGCTCCTCCCCCTCAGTCTCGCACAGGTGTACCGGCTCCTCCCCTTCAGTCTCGCACAGGTGTACCGGCTCCTCCCCTTCAGTCTCGCACAGGTGTACCGGCTCCTCCCCTTCAGTCTCGCACAGGTGTACCGGCTCCTCCCCTTCAGTCTCGCACAGGTGTACCGGCTCTGCCATCACTTTTCTGTTTCTAAAATGACAAATCACACCACGCCTGTTTGGGGGCTATTCATGTTCAAGGGCACCAAAACGCAGTGCATTTCTGTCGTGCTGCAATTGAGGCGAAGTGGCATGCTCTTCTTTTGGGCGACAAGCTTTGCGTGATGGGGTTGGCCGCGATTGCAGAGCGATTTGCCTGAGATCACAAACGCCCAGATGTGATCTACTTTTAGGGCCCATTCACATGCGATTCAGTGCGGAGCAATTTGAGCCCTTCATTGTAAATCGGCTGAATTGCACCGGAACGCAGCAGAAGTAGTACATGCAGAACTTTAAAAAATGCACTGCACCAGATCACATGATACTTCTGTATCCTGCGATCCGATACAAGGTGATATAATGTGCTCGTATGTACCGCATAGGAAAGACTTGCCTGCAAACGAAACCCTCCAGCGGTGCCCTGTCATGGTTGCAGAGGCTTCCATCCGATCCTTCTTCCGGGTTCTCAGGCTGCGGCTGCTTGAATGGCTGAGCCGCGATGACGTCACGCCTGCACATGCACAGGAGTCTCGGCCGCGCGCAGTTTGATTTGAACGTGGTGCCGATAACGGGCAGGGGACGTGGTGCCGATAACGGGCTTGGAACGTGGTGCCGATAACGGGCTTGGAACGTGGTGCCGATAACGGGCTTGGAACGTGGTGCCGATAACGGGCTTGGAACGTGGTGCCGATAACGGGCTTGGAACGTGGTGCCGATAACGGGCTTGGAACGTGGTGCCGATAACGGGCTTGGAACGTGGTGCCGATAACGGGCTTGGAACGTGGTGCCGATAACGGGCTTGGAACGTGGTGCCGATAACGGGCTTGGAACGTGGTGCCGATAACGGGCTTGGAACGTGGTGCCGATAACGGGCTTGGAACGTGGTGCCGATAACGGGCTTGGAACGTGGTGCCGATAACGGGCTTGGAACGTGGTGCCGATAACGGGCTTGGAACGTGGTGCCGATAACGGGCACGGGACGTGGTGCCGATAACGGGCACGGGACGTGGTGCCGATAACGGGCACGGGACGTGGTGCCGATAACGGGCAGGGGACGTGGTGCCGATTACGGGCAGGGGACGTGGTGCAGATTACGGGCAGGGGACGTGGTGCAGATTACGGGCAGGGGACGTGGTGCAGATTACGGGCAGGGGACGTGGTGCCGATAACGGGCAGGGGACGTGGTGCCGATAACGGGCAGGGGACGTGGTGCCGATAACGGGCAGGGGACGTGGTGCCGATAACGGGCAGGGGACGTGGTGCCGATAACGGGCAGGGGACGTGGTGCCGATAACGGGCAGGGGACGTGGTGCCGATAACGGGCAGGGGACGTGGTGCCGATAACGGGCAGGGGACGTGGTGCCGATAACGGGCAGGGGACGTGGTGCCGATAACGGGCAGGGGACGTGGTGCCGATAACGGGCAGGGGACGCGGTGCAGATAACGGGCAGGGGACGCGGCGGGGCGGTGCCGATAACGGGCAGGGGACGCGGTGCCGATAACGGGCAGGGGACGCGGTGCCGATAACGGGCAGGGGACGCGGTGCCGATAACGGGCAGGGGACGCGGTGCCGATAACGGGCAGGGGACGTGGTGCCGATAACGGGCAGGGGACGTGGTGCCGATAACGGGCAGGGGGCAGGGGACGCGGTGCCGATAACGGGCAGGGGACGTGGGTTTCCCGCACTGCATTCTGGTGTGAACGGGCACCTAAAAGCCCCTCGAAGCTGGCAATTTAAAGGCGGTGGTGGGTGCAGTATCATCACTTTCCGTATGGTGTCGGCCGGGGGTGTCAAACTCCATTCCATCGTGGGCCGTGCCGGCATTATGGTTGCCCTCAAAGGGCCGGTTGTATCTGTAAGCCTAGATGTCCAGCTCACCCCATCCCCCCCCCAATACATCAGATGTCAAGAATCCCACCCCCTCCCTAACATCACCATGCACACCTATTGGGGGCGGAGCTGGAAAGCAGAAAGTGCCGGGTCTGGAGGAGGACCAGAGGAGGACCAGAGGAGGAGTGGAGTCAGTTACCAGAGTCTGCTGAATGCTGAGACCCGGGGGGAGGCAGAGATGAGGGGGGGCTGCAGCTGCACTGAGAGGCGCAGGATTTGGCAGAGGAGTTCTATTCTCCTCTCTGCTGCCGACTGCTGAGACAAGGTGGGGGCGGAGACTAGGGGGTACCTGCAGGAGAGGTGCAAGGGCCACATGAAATGGCCTGGAGGGCCGGATTTGGTCCCTGGGCCCTGTGTGTGACACCTGGGGGTGTAGGCAATGTTCACTAAGATTTGTTTTTATTGGGCTACTTGGCTATTAAAGCCCCATTGCCGGGATGATCGCCTGGCAACCATGAGAACCGTCTGGGCTTCCCAAGATCCCGGCACCCCTGCCAGACAGCACAGCGGAGTCCTGGAGCTTCCTGCAGATTGCATTGCAGCAAAAGAAATCCATCCTCCCCCTCCCCCAGTCTGTGCAAATCCGCATGCCTGCAGTCCTTTCCTCACTGCATAATGCTGCGACTGGCTGGTCGCTGGATCCGTTCCGGGGAGAGCGGCCCCAACATTCTGTGATGTCAGCTGCTGCCGTCCTCCTCATTTGGGGGTTTGTTGGGGACGTTTGCGTGGAGTTGACCTTTAAGTCTCACTTTATTCTGTATTATCTCTTCTTCTAGCCAAGTTCTACCCACATATGACAGCCTGGATGAACCTTCTGTGAAGACCATGAGTTCCATCTTCGCCCGCTCCCTAAATGTCGTCACCACCTTCTATGTGCTGGTGAGTATCCGCCCTCCCTGGACCCCGCGTTCACTATATCCGCCCTCCCCGGACCCCGCGTTCACTATACAGTTGCAAGAAAAAGTATGTGAACCCCTTGGGATTACGTGGAGTTTTGCATGAATTGGGCATAAAATGTGCTCTGAACGTCATCTAAGTCACAACAATAGAAGAACACAGTCTGCTGAACATAATACTACACAAACATTAGATGTTGCCATGGTTTAATTGCACATAACATGTAAACATTCACAGTGCAGGGAGGAAAAGTAAGTATGTGAACCTTTGGACTTAATAACTGGTTGACCCTCCTTTGGCAGCAATAACCTCAACCAAACGTTTCCTGTAGTTGCAGATCAGACCTGCACAACGATCTGGAGTCATTTTGGACCACTCCTCTTCACAAAACTGTTTCAGTGTAGCAATATTCTTGGGATGTCTGGTGTGAATCGCTCTCTTAAGGTCATGCCACAGCATTTCAATGGGGTTGAGGTCAGGACTCTGACTGGGCCACTCCAGAAGGCGTATTCTGTGCTGTTGCAGCCATTGTTTTGTTGAATGACTTGTATGCTTTGGGTCATTGTCCTGTTGCATCACCCATCCTCTGCGGAGCTTCAGTTGGCGGACAGATGGTCGTACGTTTTCCTGCAAAATGTCTTGATAAACTCTGGAATTCATTTTCCCATCAATGACAACAATCCGTCCAGCCCTGAGGCAGCAAAGCAGCCCCAAACCATGATGCTCCCTCCGCCATGTTTCACAGTGGGGATGAGGTTTTGATGTTGGTGTGCTGTGCCTTTTTTTCTCCACACATAGTGTTGTGTGTTCTTCCCAAACAACTCAATCTTGGTTTCATCTGTCCACAGTATATTCTGCCAGTAGTGCTGTGGAACATCCAGGTGCTCTTTTGCAAACTTCAAACGTGCTGCAATCTTCTTTTTGGACAGCAATGGCTTCCTCCGTGGTGTCCTCCCATGTACTCCATTCTTGTTTCATGTTTTCCTTATTGTAGATGTGTCAACAAAAATGTTAGCATGTGCCAGAGATTTTCTGTAGGTCTTTAGCTGACACTCTGGGATTCTTCTTTACCTCATGCAGCATTCTGCGCTGTGCTCTTGCAGTCATTTTTACAGGACGACCACGCCTAGGGAGAGTAGCAACAGTGCTAAACTTTCTCCATTTGTAGACAGTCTGTCTTACCGTGGACACAGGAACATCAAGGCTCAAGGAGATACTTTTTTTTGTAACCCTTTCCAGCTTCATGCAAGTCAACAATTCTTGATCATAGGTCTTCTGAGAGCTCTTTTCTGCGAGGCATGGTTCACATCAGACAGTGCTTCTTGAAACCAGTAAACCCAAAACAGGTGTCAGCAACACATCCAATATCATGACACTGATTGGAGTCAAGGTTGGCTCACTCCTGGCTCCAATTAGCTCTGGGAGAAGTCATTAAGCTAGGGACTCACATACTTTTTCCTCCCTGCACTGTGAATGTTTACATGTTATGTGCAATTAAACCATGGCAACATCTAATGTTTGTGTAGTATTATGTTCAGCAGACTGTGTTCTTCTATTGTTGTGACTTAGATGACGTTCAGAGCACATTTTATGCCCAATTCATGCAAAACTCCACGTAATCCCAAGGGGTTCACATACCTTTTCTTGCAACTGTATCCGCCCTCCCCGGACCCCGCGTTCACTATATCCGCCCTCCCCGGACCCCGCGTTCACTATATCCGCCCTCCCCGGACCCCGCGTTCACTGTATCCGCCCTCCCTGGACCCCGCGTTCACTATATCCGCCCTCCCCGGACCCCGCGTTCACTATATCCGCTCTCCCCGGACCCCGAGTTCACTGTATATCCGCCCTCCCCAGACCCCGCGTTCACTATATCCGCCCTCCCCGGACCCCGCGTTCACTATATCCGCCCTCCCCGGACCCCGCATTCATTATATCCACCCTCCCCGGACCCCGCGTTCACTATATCCGCCCTCCCCGGACCCCGCGTTCACTATATCCGCCCTCCCCGGACCCCGCGTTCACTATATCCGCCCTCCCGGACCCCGCGTTCACTATATCCGCCCTCCCCGGACCCCGCGTTCACTGTATCCGCCCTCCCCGGACCCCGCATTCACTATATCCGCCCTCCCCGGAACCCGCGTTCACTATATCCGCCCCTCCCCCGGACCCCGCGTTCACTATATCCGCCCTCCCCGGAACCCGCATTCACTATATCCGCTCTCCCCGGACACGGCATTCACTATATCCGCTCTCCCCGGACCCCGCGTTCACTATATCCGCCCTCCCCGGACCCCGCGTTCACTATATCCGCCCTCCCCGGACCCCGCGTTCACTATATCCGCCCTCCCCGGACCCCGCGTTCACTATATCCGCCCTCCCCTGACCCCGCGTTCACTATATCCGCCCCCTCCGGACCCCGCGTTCACTATATCCGCCCTCCCCGGACCCCGCGTTCACTATATCCGCTCTCCCCGGACCCCGCGTTCACTATATCCGCCCTCCCCGGACCCCGCGTTCACTATATCCGCCCTCCCCGGACCCCGCGTTCACTATATCCACCCTCCCCCGGACCCCGCGTTCACTATATCCACCCTCCCCGGACCCCGCGTTCACTATATCCGCCCTCCCCGGACCCCGCGTTCACTATATCCACCCTCCCCGGACCCCGCGTTCACTATATCCGCTACCCCGGACCCCGCGTTCACTATATCCGCCCTCCCCAGACCCCGCGTTCACTATATCCGCCCTCCCCGGACCCCGCGTTCACTATATCCGCCCTCCCCGGACCCCGCGTTCACTATATCCGCCCTCCCCGGACCCCGCGTTCACTATATCCGCCCTCCCCGGACCCCGCGTTCACTATATCCACCCTCCCCGGACCCCGCGTTCACTATATCCGCTACCCCCGGACCCTGCGTTCACTATATCCACCCTCCCCAGACCCCGCGTTCACTATATCCGCCCTCCCCGGACCCCGCGTTCACTATATCCACCCTCCCCAGACCCCGCGTTCACTATATCCGCTACCCCGGACCCCGCGTTCACTATATCCGCCCTCCCCGGACCCCGCGTTCACTATATCCACCCTCCCCGGACCCCGCGTTCACTATATCCACCCTCCCCGGACCCCGCGTTCACTATATCCACCCTCCCCGGACCCCGCGTTCACTATATCCGCTCTCCCCGGACCCCGCATTCACTATATCCGCTCTCCCCGGACCCCGCATTCACTATATCCGCTCTCCCCGGACCCCGCATTCACTATATCCGGTCTCCCCGGACCCCGCATTCACTATATCCGGTCTCCCCGGACCCCGCGTTCACTATATCCGCTCTCCCCGGACCCCGCGTTCACTATATCCGGTCTCCCCGGACCCCGCGTTCACTATATCTGGTCTCCCCGGACCCCGCATTCACTATATCCGGTCTCCCCGGACCCCGCATTCACTATATCCGGTCTCCCCGGACCCCGCGTTCACTATATCCGCTCTCCCCGGACCCCGCATTCACTATATCCGGTCTCCCCGGACCCCGCGTTCACTATATCTGGTCTCCCACAGGACACACAACATGGAAATGCAATTAATTTAGTAAATATAAATTGCTAAACATCTTTCCCATCAGCAGTATAGAGCAGTCTTGTGACTTCTATCAGTGTACAGCAGAGCACTGGTTAAAGCTTGTAGGAGGAGTTTTCTTTTTTCTCTAGCAGAATGCAGGACCCCCTGACCTTTTCCTGGACAGTGCTGATTGGTTCTGTTCTGATCACATGCACTCTCCCAGGGTAAACAAAAAAAAAAAACCTCTTGCAATACACACTAAACTGAGCATGTTCAGCATGGCTATGGGTTCAGTCTGTTTTATCAGGAGATATGAGGTGGTAGCTTAAACAAGGTGAGGAACAGAGCAATCAGGATTAAACTGTCTTCTCACCCAATTCGGAGGGTTAACCCCTTCGGTCCCACAGTATAAGCAGCACACTTTCCTGCATCTACAGACGGATTGGGGTTCAGGAACACGCTAAAGTCTCTGCATTAAGGTAAAACGCCTTTCTACGTCAGGTTGCCCCACCCCCCCTTAAATACGTACCTGAGCCTGATCTCCATCCAGCGCTGTGCCTGTCTGCAGCAGCTCTTCTCTCTCCTCTTCTCATAGGACGCTTGGTAGCAGCGGAACCATTGGCTCCTGCTGCTGTCAATCAAAACCTGTGAGCAGAGAGTAGGAGGTGGGTCTGAGCTGCGCTGTGTGTGTCAGTAGACACACACAGCCTGGCTTGGGATTGAGCTTGTGGCTTGCTATGGGGGGGGGGGGGGGGGGCATTTTAATGAAGAGGAGGAGCCAAGGCTGTGGGAAGGGGACACCAAAAGTGGAAGTTTGGGGCCACTCTGTGCAAAACCATTACACAGAGCAGGTAAGTGTGACATGTTTGTTTTTAAATAGAAATTAAATCTTTACAATCACTTTTTTAAATAAATGTTGCTTGGGTTGTTAAATATGGAGCAGAGAGAAGGGGGTGGAGCCTCTGTCAGATGTTTACTGCCATCTACTGATCTGCTGTCACTTCCTGTAATGTCAGGAAGTGACAGTTAGTATTTCTGAAAGAGGGAACAAACAAAACCAAAAACCACAAAGTTACAACTCCTGACAATGTTTCTGTCCCGCCTTCCTGTCCTGGTGACAACTGCCCCCCCCCCCTCCAGAAAAGTGACCCTGTGCTTGCTCTGTCCAAAAAAAAACCCAAAAGCCGTAATCCTTGGATGGTGATTGGCTGTGAGTCTCCTGACATTGCGGCGTTCTCTCCCTTCCAGGTCGGCTTCTTTGGTTACGTCAGTTTCACAGAAACAATAGCTGGCAATGTTCTGTTCAACTTCCCGTCCAATCTGGTGACCGAGATGATCCGCGTTGGCTTCATGATGTCGGTGGCCGTCGGGTTCCCAATGATGATCCTTCCCTGCCGGCAGGCGCTGAATACGCTCCTATTTGAGCAGCAGGTGGGTGTGGCTATTGGGTGGAGGAAAGCGGAAACAAAGCGGAACTCCGCCACAAACCGAAAACACTGTTTAATGTATTGGTATTGAAAACAAACTCCCCCCCCCCATCCATCCATCCCTCCCCTCCATCCGTCCATCCCTCCCCCCCATCCATCCATCCCTCCCCCCCATCCGTCCATCCCTCCCTCCCATCCGTCCATCCCTCCCTCCCATCCGTCCATCCCTCCCCCCCATCCGTCCATCCCTCCCTCCCATCCCGTCCATCCCTCCCCCCCATCCGTCCATCCCTCCCTCCCATCCGTCCATCCCTCCCCCCCATCCGTCCATCCCTCCCCCCATCCGTCCATCCCCTCCCCCCCATCCGTCCATCCCTCCCTCCCTGTCTCCATCCCCCTCCCTCCCTGTCTCCATCCCTCCTTCCATGTCTCCATCCCTCCTTCCATGTCTCCATCCCTCCTTCCATGTCTCCCTCCATTTCTCCATCCCTCCCTCCATTTCTCCATCCCTCCTTCCATGTCTCCCTCCATGTCTCCATCCGTCCCTCCATGTCTCCATCTCTCCTTCCATGTCTCCATCTCTCCTTCCACGTCTCCATCCCTCCTTCCACGTCTCCATCCCTCCTTCCACGTCTCCATCCCTCCTTCCACGTCTCCATCCCTCCTTCCACGTCTCCATCCCTCCTTCCACGTCTCCATCCCTCCTTCCACGTCTCCATCCCTCCTTCCACGTCTCCATCCCTCCTTCCACGTCTCCATCCCTCCTTCCACGTCTCCATCCCTCCTTCCACGTCTCCATCTCTCCTTCCACGTCTCCATCCCTCCTTCCACGTCTCCATCCCTCCTTCCATCTCTCCTTCCATGTCTCCATCTCTCCTTCCATGTCTCCATCCCTCCCTCCATGTCTCCATCCCTCCTTCCACGTCTCCTCCATCCCTCCTTCCATCCCTCCTTCCATGTCTCCATCCCTCCTTCCATGTCTCCATCCCTCCTTCCATGTCTCCATCCCTCCTTCCATGTCTCCATCCCTCCTTCCATGTCTCCATCCCTCCTTCCATGTCTCCATCCCTCCCTCCATGTCTCCATCCCTCCTTCCACGTCTCCATCCCTCCTTCCACGTCTCCATCCCTCCTTCCATCCCTCCTTCCATGTCTCCATCTCTCCTTCCATGTCTCCATCCCTCCTTCCACGTCTCCATCCCTCCTTCCATCCCTCCTTCCATGTCTCCATCCTTCCTTCCATGTCTCCATCCCTCCTTCCATGTCTCCATCTCTCCTTCCATGTCTCCATCCCTCCTTCCATGTCTCCATCCCTCCTTCCATGTCTCCATCCCTCCCTCCATGTCTCCATCCATCCCTCCCTCCATTTCTCCATCCCTCCCTCCATGTCTCCATCCGTTGGGGTTGTGCCATAGCCGACAGCAGCCGGGTGACCACCTTCCTTGTTTTACTATTAAAGCGGTACTCCGGGTACAGAAAACAATTCCCGGCTGCCAATACCTTAGTGCCAGGGTTCATTGCTTGTCTTTGTCTCTTGGAGATGAAGGGAGACATCTGATTCTCTGATACTTACCTGATTCTCCCCACACAACACCAGTCCCTGCAGCTCCTCAACCCCCCCCCAGTCTTCAGCAGTGGACTGTTCTGACATCATCAGCCCCACAGCATGCTCCATAGACCTCTGTGGATGTGAGGACAGCAGGAACAGTCCACCTCTGGATTGTGGGGGAGCACCGTTTGCTTTGCTGGTGGAGCAGAGGATCGGGTGAGACTTTCTCCTCTCCCCTAGACACAACCAGCGCTTAACACGTGCAGCATGACCACGGCCCCGCTCCAAGGGAAAACTTTTCTTATTGCTCAGAGTTGGGCTTTAGGGCCAGTTAACTACAAAAACGCATTCCGACTACATTTTTGCTGACCGTTCACACCACGCGCAGTTGCGGTGCAGTTTTGATGCAGTTTGCTATGTTCAGTACGGTTCTGTGCAGAAAAAATGCCGCGTGTTCTACTGACTGGAACTGACTGCACTGGTGTGAACTAGAGCCATAGGAATATATGGAAAACACTGCGCAGGCATTTTTGATGCAGAAACAAAGCGCACTGAGCTGCATCTAATGTGAACCAGTTCTTAGGGCCGGTTCACACTATAGAAACGCAGTCCAGCTGCATTCCGGATGTGTTTCCGCATGCGCGGTTTTGAAACGTTCTGGTGCGTTTTTTATGCATTCCATTCGGGACATGTGCTTTCCAGTGCATTTTTGATGCGTTTTACCACGTTCCAGTGCAGAAAAAAATGCCGCCTGTTCTACTTTTTTCTTTTTTTTTTTTCTGCAACCGGAACGCACTGGAACTGCAAGCACTAATGTGAACTTCGACACCAACAACCATATCACCGACTTTCTGTGCGTTTTGGAGGCAGAAAAAAAGCAACTGAAACGCATGGAGTGTGAACCGATCCTTAATGTTTGGAGGACCTCTATCATCACATTAACACCTCCAATGTTCTTCTTTCCCACAGCAAAAAGACGGCACGTTTGCAGCCGGTGGGTACATGCCGCCTCTGCGCTTCAAAGTGCTGACGTTAGCCGTGGTGTTCGGGACCATGATGGGCGGGATTCTCATACCGAATGGTGAGTGTCGCTGCTTGTAAGGAAGGTTTGTAGTCTGTGACCACGGATGAGCTCTGATCCTAGTCTGCACCCACGTGAGAGAGCCCACCAAGGAGCTGCCACAGTCCTGAGACACTCCCCGCCCCTCGGCCACATATATACACGCTCTGCCCCTCCGCGCCACATATATACATGCCCCGCCCCTCCGCCACATATATCACACCCCCGCCCCTCCGCCACATATATACACAGTCTTGCCCAGGTGTACCGGCTCCTCCCCTCCAGTCTTGCACAGGCGTACCGGCTCCTCCCCTCCAGTCTTGCCCAGGCGTACCGGCTCCTCCCCTCCAGTCTTGCCCAGGCGTACCGGCTCCTCCCCTCCAGTCTTGCCCAGGCGTACCGGCTCCTCCCCTCCAGTCTTGCCCAGGCGTACCGGCTCCTCCCCTCCAGTCTTGCCCAGGCGTACCGGCTCCTCCCCTCCAGTCTTGCCCAGGCGTACCGGCTCCTCCCCTCCAGTCTTGCCCAGGCGTACCGGCTCCTCCCCTCCAGTCTTGCCCAGGCGTACCGGCTCCTCCCCTCCAGTCTTGCCCAGGCGTACCGCTCCTCCCCTCCAGTCTTGAACAGGCGTACAGGCTCCTCCTTTCCAGTCTCGCACAGGCGTACCGGCTCCTCCCCTCCAGTCTCGCACAGGCGTACCGGCTCCTCCCCTCCAGTCTCGCACAGGCGTACCGGCTCCTCCCCTCCAGTCTCGCCCAGGCGTACCGGCTCCTCCCCTCCAGTCTCGCCCAGGCGTACCGGCTCCTCCCCTCCAGTCTCGCCCAGGCGTACCGGCTCCTCCCCTCCAGTCTCGCCCAGGCGTACCGGCTCCTCCCCTCCAGTCTCGCCCAGGCGTACCGGCTCCTCCCCTCCAGTCTCGCCCAGGCGTACCGGCTCCTCCCCTCCAGTCTCGCCCAGGCGTACCGGCTCCTCCCCTCCAGTCTCGCCCAGGCGTACCGGCTCCTCCCCTCCAGTCTTGCCCAGGCGTACCGGCTCCTCCCCTTCAGTCTTGCCCAGGCGTACCGGCTCCTCCCCTTCAGTCTTGCCCAGGCGTACCGGCTCCTCCCCTTCAGTCTTGCCCAGGCGTACCGGCTCCTCCCCTTCAGTCTTGCCCAGGCGTACCGGCTCCTCCCCTTCAGTCTTGCCCAGTTGTACCGGCTCCTCCCCTTCAGTCTTGCCCAGTTGTACCGGCTCCTCCCCTTCAGTCTTGCCCAGTTGTACCGGCTCCTCCCCTTCAGTCTTGCCCAGTTGTACCGGCTCCTCCCCTTCAGTCTTGCCCAGTTGTACCGGCTCCTCCCCTTCAGTCTTGCCCAGTTGTACCGGCTCCTCCCCTTCAGTCTTGCCCAGTTGTACCGGCTCCTCCCCTTCAGTCTTGCACAGGTGTATGGCTCCTCCCCTTCAGTCTTGCACAGTTATACCGGCTCCTCCCCTTCAGTCTTGCACAGGTGTATGGCTCCTCCCCTTCAGTCTTGCACAGTTATACTGGCTCCTCCCCTTCAGTCTTGCACAGTTATACTGGCTCAGGGTCAGGTCATATTTTACATCTGGATCAGACGAGAAGCCGTACTGAAATCGTGTCCACAAGCTCATGATGTGCGATTCAGAAGCGGTTCCCATAGAAGCCAATGAGCCTGTGACTTGCACCTGAAGAACTGCACTGCTCAGAAATCGGACGGGACTCTTTTTCAGTCCACATTAATCTGCACTGGCAGTGCACCGGACATATGTGAACAGGCACCATAGGAAGCAATGTTATTTCACATGTCGTGGATTGGATACGGTTCATACTCCATGCAATCCACATGTATGTGAACCGGCTCTCTGGGAGCTCATACAGAGTGCTATAGATGTCTGCCCCTCAGCAGTGAGACAAATGTTGGAGCGATGGCCTCATACATGTCAGACGGAGATATCTGATTCTGTTGCCAAGTTACGACTCTTGACAGGTCTGTCATGCAGCAATGCAGCGCCCCCACCAGGTGACAGGCTTTCATACGTCGGGGTAGGTATGTGGGAAGCCTCAATAGTGTTAACCCCTCCCCCAATTATCTATATTGTGGGCATTCAATGTCAAATCCTGGTCATGTAGCCTCTCTTCAGAAGAGGAGATTAGGGGGGGATATGATCTCCATGTATAATAATAAGGGGGGGATATGATCTCCATGTATAATACATAAGGGGGGGGGATATGATCTCCATGTATAAATACATAAGGGGGATATGATCTCCATGTATAATACATAAGGGGGGGGATATGATCACCATGTATAATACATAAGGGGGGGATATGATCTCCATGTATAATACATAAGGGGGGATATGATCTCCATGTATAATACATAAGGGGGGGATATGATCTCCCATGTATAATACATAAGGGGGGGATATGATCTCCATGTATAATACATAAGGGGGATATGATCTCCATGTATAATACATAAGGGGGGATATGATCTCCATGTATAATACATAAGGGGGGATATGATCTCCATGTATAATACATAAGGGGGGATATGATCTCCATGTATAATACATAAGGGGGGGATATGATCTCCATGTATAATACATAAGGGGGGATATGATCTCCATGTATAATACATAAGGGGGGGATATGATCTCCATGTATAATACATAAGGGGGATATGATCTCCATGTATAATACATAAGGGGGGATATGATCTCCATGTATAATACATAAGGGGGGATATGATCTCCATGTATAATACATAGGGGGGGATATGATCTCCATGTATAATACATAAGGGGGGGATATGATCTCCATGTATAATACATAAGGGGGATATGATCTCCATGTATAATACATAAGGGGGGATATGATCTCCATGTATAATACATAAGGGGGATATGATCTCATGTATAATACATAAGGGGGGATATGATCTCCATGTATAATACATAAGGGGGGATATGATCTCCATGTATAATACATAAGGGGGATATGATCTCCATGTATAATACATAAGGGGGGGGATATGATCTCCATGTATAATACATAAGGGGGGATATGTCAACATGTATAATACATAAGGGGGATATGATCTCCATGTATAATACATAAGGGGGGGATAGGATCTCCATGTATAATACATAAGGGGGGATAGGATCTCCATGTATAATACATAAGGGGGGGATATGATCTCCATGTATAATACATAAGGGGGATATGATCTCCATGTATAATACATAAGGGGGGGATATGATCTCCATGTATAATACATAAGGGGGGATATGATCTCCATGTATAATACATAAGGGGGGGGATATGATCTCCATGTATAATACATAAGGGGGGATATGATCTCCATGTATAATACACATAAGGGGGGATATGATCTCCATGTATAATACATAAGGGGGGGATATGATCTCCATGTATAATACATAAGGGGGGGATATGATCTCCATGTATAATACATAAGGGGGGATATGATCTCCATGTATAATACATAAGGGGGGATATGATCTCCATGTATAATACATAAGGGGGGATATGATCTCCATGTATAATACATAAGGGGGGATATGATCTCCATGTATAATACATAAGGGGGGGATATGATCTCCATGTATAATACATAAGGGGGATATGATCTCCATGTATAATACATAAGGGGGGATATGATCTCCATGTATAATACATAAGGGGGGATATGATCTCCATGTATAATACATAAGGGGGGATATGATCTCCATATATAATACATAAGGGGGGATATGATCTCCATGTATAATACATAAGGGGGGGGATATGATCTCCATGTATAATACATAAGGGGGGGATATGATCTCCATGTATAATACATAAGGGGGATATGATCTCCATGTATAATACATAAGGGGGGGATATGATCTCCATGTATAAATAATACATAAGGGGGATATGATCTCTCCATGTATAATACATAAGGGGGGATATGATCTCCATGTATAATACATAAGGGGGGGATATGATCTCCATGTATAATACATAAAGGGGGGATATGATCTCCATGTATAATACATAAGGGGGGATATGATCTCCATGTATAATACATAATAAGGGGGGATATGATCTCCATGTATAATACATAAGGGGGATATGATCTCCATGTATATAATACATAAGGGGGGGATATGATCTCCATGTATAATACATAAGGGGGGATATGATCTCCATGTATAATACATAAGGGGGGATATGATCTCCATGTATAATACATAAGGGGGGATATGATCTCCATGTATAATACATAAGGGGGGGATATGATCTCCATGTATAATACATAAGGGGGGATATGATCTCCATGTATAATACATAAGGGGGGATATGATCACCATGTATATAATACATAAGGGGGATATGATCTCCATGTATAATACATAAGGGGGGGATATGATCTCCATGTATAATACATAAGGGGGGATATGATCTCCATGTATAATACATAAGGGGGATATGATCTCCATGTATAATACATAAGGGGGGATATGATCTCCATGTATAATACATAAGGGGGATATGATCTCCATGTATAATACATAAGGGGGGATATGATCTCCATGTATAATACATAAGGGGGGATATGATCTCCATGTATAATACAAAGGGGGATATGATCTCCATGTATAATACATAAGGGGGGGGGATATGATCTCCATGTATAATACATAAGGGGGGATATGATCTCCATGTATAATACATAAGGGGGATATGATCTCCATGTATAATACATAAGGGGGGATATGATCTCCATGTATAATACATAAGGGGGGATATGATCTCCATGTATAATACATAAGGGGGGATATGATCTCCATGTATAATACATAAGGGGGGATATGATCTCCATGTATAATACATAAGGGGGGGATATGATCTCCATGTATAATACATAAGGGGGGATATGATCTCCATGTATAATACATAAGGGGGGGATATGATCTCCATGTATAATACATAAGGGGGGATATGATCTCCATGTATAATACATAAGGGGGATATGATCTCCATGTATATAATACATAAGGGGGGATATGATCTCCATGTATAATACATAAGGGGGGATATGATCTCCATGTATAATACATAAGGGGGGATATGATCTCCATGTATAATACATAAGGGGGGGATATGATCTCCATGTATAATACATAAGGGGGGATATGATCTCCATGTATAATACATAAGGGGGGATATGATCTCCATGTATAATACATAAGGGGGGATATGATCTCCATGTATAATACATAAGGGGGATATATGATCTCCATGTATAATACATAAGGGGGGATATGATCACCATGTATAATACATAAGGGGGGATATGATCTCCATGTATAATACATAAGGGGGGGATATGATCACCATGTATAATACATAAGGGGGGATATGATCTCCATGTATAAACACATCAGTGGTTCATATAGTGAACTCGGTTTAGTTATTCCCCCTGAGGTCATCATCACAGAGGACAAGGGGGCGCTCTTTATGTCTGAGGAAAAAAATGTCATCTCCAAACACGGAAAGGTTTTCTTCACAGTAAGAGCTGTGAGAATGTGGAATAGACTCCCCCCAGAATTGGGTGTGCCAATCAGTGGATTGCTGTAGGAAAGTCCTGGATCCTTTCTTGGATACACAGAATATAACTGGATATAACATTTATAGGGAAAGGTGATCCAGGGAATATCCGATTATTGATCCGGGAATATCCGATTATTGATCCAGGGAATATCCGATTATTGATCCAGGGAATATCCGATTATTGATCCGGGAATATCCGATTATTGATCCAGGGAATATCCGATTATTGATCCAGGGAATATCCGATTGCCTCTCGGGGGATCAGGAAGGAATTCCCCCCCCCCCCCCCGCAGGAGGAGATTGGATTGTGCTTTGCTGGTGTTTTTGCCTTCCTCTGGATCAGCTGTGGGTGAAGGATTATAACTTTTTTTTTATGGATGGACTTTTTTTATCTGCCAGACTAACTATGTCACTGTGTAATAAATGTGTTGGACACGCCGTACTGAGCGCCCCGCCTGTGTAAAGTGACTTGTTGTTGTTTTTCTCTTGATACTGAAAGTGATTTCTTTGCATTTCTCAGTGGAAACCATTCTGGGTGTGACTGGAGCAACCATGGGAAGTCTCATCTGCTTCATCCTTCCAGCCCTCATTTATAAGAAGATCCATAACAAGGGCCTGTCCTCACAGGTATGGAAAACATGGAAATTTACCCAAGTATACATGTTCCCCTCCCCCTCCCGTGTTCGCAAAAAGAATATTGAAAAGCACCTTTTTTTGGGGGGGGGGGGGATTTTTTTTTTTTTTCCTGGGTCTGGCGTAGGCCAGAAAGAGGCCGTGTACCACCAGAGGTAAAGGTTACAGTTCACTTTTAGGAACTTGTTACAGATTAAACCTATATTTATAAAGCTATAGTCATTTTTGTAAAAATTAACATCTCCCCCTCCAGAGTATTCTCCCCTCCCCCCCCTCTTCCTGACCAAGCCATCTTTTTGCAATACGGCGCTGTGTTACTTTAACTGACAATTTGCGGTCGTGCAACAGTGCACCCAAATTACATTTACATCCTTTTTTTTTTCCCCATAAATGGTGATTTATTTAGATGGTATTTGATCGCCTGTGTTTTTTATTTTTTGCACTATAAAGGAAAAAAAAACTATATTTTGGACTTTTGGCTATTAAACACGTCCAGTAAAAAAATGTAAAAATCAAATTTTGCGGCCAAAATGTCTCCCGCTCCGTGTCTTTGCTAAATAAAAATCCCCATACGTGTAAATTAATTGGTTTACGTGAAAGTTCTAGCGTCTACAAATGGCGGTATAGGTACTAGGGATTTTTTTTGTTTGTTTGTATATTTTTACTAGTAATGCCGGCGATCAGCGACTTATAGCAGGACTGCAGCGGGCATTCTGACACTGGGGAGGAAACTGGCTTGTTGTCACTGACATCCCCAGTGACACCAATGCAGTGATCAATGCTGATAAAAAGCACCAACACTGTACTAATGACACTGGAGAGGAAAGGGTTAACATCAAGGAGATCAAAGGGTTAATTGTGTGCTGTGTATGCGTGTTTCACTGTACGCATGCTGCTATTCAGAGCCATACAAAGCAGTGTGCAGGAGGAGCTGACGGGAGAGATCTGTGTTGTTTGTACTCAGGTCTCTTCCCTGTCGGAGATATTCAGCAATCACCGGCCGGGACCCAGTGATTGACAGCCGAGGCCGCGAATGGCGGTGCGGGTAGGCCACACACGCCCCCCCCCCACCTGGAACTGCAAAATCACATGTGTACATATACGTGATCCACTGATCATGTTTCCAATGCTTTGCAGGATTCTGTGGGGAAAAAAATAGAAAATGCCCATTTTGTTTTTTTTTCTTGGAGAAATGTATTTATTTTTTTCATAAAGGTGAACGTATCCTTTATATTCCCCTTTAACTCCAGAACGTCATTCTCAGCTTCTGTGTTCAACTTTCATGCTGACACTCCAAGGATGCGATTACCTAAATTATAATGAGAAGCCCACAGTATATACTCCATACATGAGGCGGAAGGTCCTCTGAGTCCTCCATTAACCTCCTCAGTACAACAACTGCATGTATTGATTGCTGGGATACCCATGAGGAGAGTCTGTAGATGGCGGGGTGACTTCACCAATGCGTTTCACTCATAGCTTCATCAGGGATACCCATGGGGCGAGTCTACTGATGGCTGAGTGACTTTACCAATGCGTTTCGCTCATAGCTTCATCAGGGATACCCATGGGGCGAGTCTGCTGATGGCTGAGTGACTTTACCAATGCGTTTCGCTCATAGCTTCATCAGGGATACCCATGAGGAGAGTCTGTCAATGGCAGGGTGACTTTACCAATGCGTTTCGCTCATAGCTTCATCAGGGATTCCCGTGGGGCGAGTCTGTTGATGGCTGAGTGACTTTACCAATGCGTTTCCCTCATACTGTAGCTTCATCAGGGATACCCGTGGGGCGAGTCTGATGGCTGAGTGACTTTACCAATGCGTTTCGCTCATAAGAGCTTCATCGGGGATACCCATGGGACGAGTCTGTAGATGGCTGAGTGACTCTACCAATGCGTTTCACTCATACTGTAGCTTCATCAGGATACCCATGGGACGAGTCTGTAGATGGCTGAGTGACTTTACCAATGCGTTTCGCTCATAGCTTCATCAGGGATACCCGTGGGGCGAGTCTGATGGCTGAGTGACTTTACCAATGCGTTTTGCTCATAAGAGCTTCATCAGGGATTCCCGTGGGACGAGTCTGTAGATGGCTGAGTGACTCTACCAATGCGTTTCCCTCATAGCTTCATCAGGGATTCCCGTGGGGCGAGTCTGTTGATGGCTGAGTGACTTTACCAATGCGTTTCGCTCATAAGAGCTTCATCGGGGATACCCATGGGACGAGTCTGTAGATGGCTGAGTGACTCTACCAATGCGTTTCACTCATAGCTTCATCAGGGATACCCGTGGGGGCGAGTCTGATGGCTGAGTGACTTTACCAATGCGTTTCGCTCATAGCTTCATCAGGGATACCCATGGGCGAGTCTACTGATGGCTGAGTGACTTTACCAATGCGTTTCCCTCATACTGTAGCTTCATCAGGGATACCCGTGGGGCGAGTCTGATGGCTGAGTGACTTTACCAATGCGTTTCGCTCATAAGAGCTTCATCAGGGATACCCATGGGACGAGTCTGTAGATGGCTGAGTGACTTTACCAATGCGTTTCACTCATACTGTAGCTTCATCAGGGATACCCATGGGACGAGTCTGTAGATGGCTGAGTGACTCTACCAATGCGTTTCCCTCATAGCTTCATCAGGGATACCAATGAGGAGAGTCTGTCAATGGCGGGGTGACTTTACCAATGCGTTTCCCTCATACTGTAGCTTCATCAGGGATTCCCGTGGGGCGAGTCTGATGGCTGAGTGACTTTACCAATGCGTTTCCCTCATAGCCTCATCGAACATCCTATGAGCAGAACCAGTGCTGTAACACACATGCATGGGATTCTGGAAGGGTGGCAGAGTAGAGACAACTCACTGTTTGTTAGGAGCCACTAATGTCTGAAACAAGATGGCGGCACCCATATTAGTTGGCTGTTGGCTGCCATCTGCAGAAGTGATCTGAGGCCTAGTTTCAGTGAAGGTAAAACATGAGCATTGTATAAACGGGAGGAGAACGGGCACAACGTCTCTGTATGAAGTAATGGAGCTGTAAGTTACCATATTTGTTGCCATGCCCGAGGTGTTCAGTATATGGAAAGTTCCCGTATGACCAGCAGTACATATGGAGGCGCTGTATACAGCGCAGTGTCCTGCAGGGCCACCAAGTACCCCCAGGACCTGTGCAGTCCAGATGTTACAGCTGGACCGCCAACGCCTTATAATTCTGCCAACAAGTAGTTAATTAGAGAACACAGGAAGCCTTGCCTGGCGCGGTGGAGAGGAGGAGAGCCGCGGTCCAAGCAGGCCACAGGAAGTTGAAAAGGGCAAATTAGCAAAGCTGTGAAGAGATGAGAACCTGTGAAGGTCCTATTAATCCTTCGTTGTCCTCGGGTTCATGTAGCAACGTGGCCAGCGGGTCACCCCGGGGACATTGACACCTGCGACTGGTGACGGGGTGCAGGTCTTACTGTGCAGTTCCTATTGTAAAGCAGGCGGTATTCACGTACCCCCATCGAAGGAAGAGGTAGTAATGAAGTGCAAATCCTTCAGTCATGACCGCAGTGTGTGCTGGTTTATGTTTTGTCCTGAAAATAGATATTTATATTTGGCGTACGTGTGCCCATATATGCCACTGGCCTTTGGATCCCGGCAGAGACCTGCGGCGTATCTTCGCACATTCGGCATTCCACCCACTACAGAAAACTACAGGAGGGGGCGGAGACAAGACCAGCCACTCTGCACAAGTAAAGAGAGCCGAGCTGTGGGAGGGGCCCAGCAGACTCCACCCACTACAAAAAACCTACAGGAGGGGGTGGAGACAAGACCAGCCACTGTGCATGAGTAAAGAGAGCCGAGCTGTGGGAGGGGCCCAGCAGACTCTATCCACTACGGTGGAGATGAGACCAGCCACTCTGCACAAGGAAAGAGAGCAGAGCTGTGGGTGGGGCCCAGCAGGCTCCACCCACTACAGAAAACAACAGGAGGGGCTGAGACCAGACCAGCCACTCTGCACAAGGAAAGAGAGCCGAGCTGTGGGAGGGGCCCAGCAGACTCCACCCACTACGGTGGAGATGAGACCAGCCACTCTGCACAAGGAAAGAGAGCAGAGCTGTGGGTGGGGCCCAGCAGGCTCCACCCACTACAGAAAACAGGAGGGGCTGAGACAAAACCAGCCACTCTGCACAAGGAAAGAGAGCAGAGCTGTGGGAGGGGCCCAGCAGATTCCACCCACTACAAAAAAAACTACTGGAGTGGGGTGGAGACAAGACCAGTCACCCTGTGCAAGGAGAGAGAGCAGAGCTGTGGGAGGGGCCCAGAAGACTCCGCCCACTACAAAAACCCTACAGGAGGGGGCGGAGACAAGACCAGTCAGAGCAGAGCTGTGGGAGGGGCCCAGCAGATTCCACCCACTACGGTGGAGACAAGACCAGTCCTCCTGCACAAGGAGAGGGGGCAGCAGTGAGCGGTCTTTATTCCAGGAAGTCTCACACTGGGTGACGGCTCACCGAGGTTCCGGAAGAAGTCACATGACCGATGGATTTGTTATCCCAGAGTTCATCTTGGGGGGGGAAAAAACTGCAATCTAATTAAAGGGTAGAAATGTGTTTTATATTGTGAGCGGTCAGAGATGCTAATTGGTAGATGTCTCTTCCCTGGTAAGAATGAATTGCCCCTCCCTGTTACCCCCACCGGGCAAAGACCACCTGCTCACTAGCTCCCTTGTCTCCTCCTCCCATGCTTGTCTCCAGGACTTCTCAAGAGCTTCCCCCATCCTCTGGAATTCTCTACCCCAATCTATCAGACTATCGCCTACTCTGCTCACTTTTAGGCGATCTCTGAAAACACTGTTCAACAGGTAAAAAGTTTTGGGCATAAAATTAGCTAATCTTACATAATTTTGGGGTGCTGAAAACGAAAATGACCCTAAAAAATGTTGATTGGCTCTAGTTTCCATGATATATTCACCCATCTAATGACGTAAGCCATTCAAAATGATGATGCAACTTCAGCTGCATATTGCGCAATTGATACTGGTGACCAATAGAAAATGTCCTGTATACTGAGATGATGCAATATTAGCCTTTAATTGCATCACTTCACTGCATAAAAGCTGCAGTATCTGTAGCTGATTGTAGTTCGTCTTTACATTTCGTTTTCTGCTTCTATAGGCTACTCAGTAATGCCTCGAACTTGTGTGAATAAAGCAGATAATTTCTGCTATATCTGCGGTGAAATAACTTTTATCTCACAAAAAAGGAGGATAACAGGAATGATTAAGAAAGCCTACAACTTGTATTTTGGCTGCAAGATAGGAGACCAGGACAAGAGCTGGGCACCACATATATGCTGCAATTCTTGTGGGACGGCACTGGAGCAATGGTTGAATGGAAAAAAGGCATCTATGCCTTTCGCTGTGCCAATGATTTGGAGAGAGCCAACAGATCATGTTAGTAATTGTTACTTTTGTATGGTGCCTCCAATTGTAAAAGGGCTAAATAAGAAGAAAAAGTTATCTGTGCACTATCCAAATATTCCATCGGCAATACGTCCAGTTCCTCATGGAGAGGGGCTACCAATTCCTAAAGCACCAGAATCCTTCGTGGTTGAGTCAAGTGAGGAAGAACCTGAAGCGTGTCGTCACGTGCAGTTGTAAGAGATAGCCCTTTCCTCGAATACAAGAGAAAAGCCAAGAGAAGCAAAACCGACACAAACTGAAGACAAAACTAGTGAGAATCCTAAGTATTAAAATGATTCAACTTAGCTTATGGCTATAATTTTTCTTGGTAATCCTATGCAATATATTATGCCATTTAGGCTTTGTTATGTAGTCAATATCACTTGCTTTATATTTGTGGAAAGACATCTATCTATATAATTATTGTGCATTATGTAGTCATTACGCCTATAGTAGAAAACTTTCCGTTTACAGAAAAACTAGAGCCAATTGACAAATTTCATTGTTATATTTTGAACTCAGAATGTGAAATTCATTAAGAAATGGATCCTTTTGTTTCCAAAACTGGCAAAAAATAAAAATTTGTTGAACAGTGAAACCGATCTCTTCAGGGAAGCCTATCCTGCCCTCAGCTAATACTGGAATCTTCTACTCCTCCTACCAGTCCATCCCCCACAGTTACTACCTTTTGTACCACCAGCCCCTCCCTCTTAGATTGTAAGCTCCCAGGATCAGCCTCTCCCTCCTAGATTGTAAGCTCCCGGGATCAGCCCCTCCCTCCTAGATTGTAAGCTCCCGGGATCAGCCCCTCCCTCTTAGATTGTAAGCTCCCAGGATCAGCCCCTCCCTCCTAGATTGTAAGCTCCCGGGATCAGCCCCTCCCTCCTAGATTGTAAGCTCCCAGGATCAGCCCCTCCCTCCTAGATTGTAAGCTCCCAGGATCAGCCCCTCCCTCCTAGATTGTAAGCTCCCAGGATCAGCCCCTCCCTCTTAGATTGTAAGCTCCCAGGATCAGGCCCTCCCTCTTAGATTGTAAGCTCCCAGGATCAGGCCCTCCCTCTTAGATTGTAAGCTCCCAGGATCAGCCCCGCCCTCTTAGATTGTAAGCTCCCAGGATCAGGCCTCCTAACCCTCTTGTATTGATCTGTATTGTCTCCCGTTATATTGTACAGCGCTAAGCACACTGTTGGTGCCATAAATCCTGTATAATAATAATAATAATAATAACACAGAGAGGCCCCTGCATCGGCCACAAGCGCCTTCATGGTACAGAGACCTTCTTTCCCTTCTATTCACAGCTGAGCTGAGAAGGGAGATTATGGAGGAGAGGGCAGCCGTGTGTTGGGAGTAATAGGTCAGGTCAGTGGAATCTCAGGCCAGATCCTGCCATGGGACTGACGTTCACTTTGACCCGCATCTTCCAATGGCGGATCCAGGACAGGCAGGAGGGAGGACAGACACCTTAACCCTGTAGGAGCCAGCCGCTCCCGCCTCCTCCACAGCCCGATTGCTCCAGTGAGCGCCAGGGGAGGGGCAGAGCAGACAGTCACCGCTCTCTGCTCAGAGCTGCATGGAGAACTGACGGATCAGCAGTGTCTGATCCCTCAGTTCTCACCCTTAGAGCCGGCGGGGAACAAATACAACATCCGCCGAGGTGAATATGATTTAAAATTTCTTTTAACCACTTCATGTGTCCGGACGCTTCCCCCCCTTTCCGGTCCGGACGCTTTCCCCCCCTTCCGGTCCGGACGCTTTCCCCCCCTTCCGGTCCGGACGCTTTCCCCCCTTCCGGTCCGGACGCTTTCCCCCCCTTCCGGTCCGGACGCTTTCCCCCCCCTTCCGGTCCGGACGCTTTCCCCCCCTTCCGGTCCGGACGCTTTCCCCCCCTTCCGGTCCGGACGCTTTCCCCCCCTTCCGGTCCGGACGCTTTTCCCCCCCTTCCGGTCCGGACGCTTTCCCCCCCCTTCCGGTCCGGACGCTTTCCCCCCCCTTCCGGTCCGGACGCTTTCCCCCCCCTTCCGGTCCGGACGCTTTCCCCCCCCCTTCCGGTCCGGACGCTTTCCCCTCCCCCCCCCTTCCGGTCCGGACGCTTTCACCCCCCCCTTCCCGTCCGGACGCTTTCCCCCCCTTCCGGTCCGGACGCTTTCCCCCCCCCATCTTCCGGTCCGGACGCTCCCCCCCCCCCCCTTCCGGTCCGGACGCTTCCCCCCCCCCCTTCCGGTCCGGACGCTTCCCCCCCCCCCTTCCGGTCCGGACGCTTCCCCCCCCCCCCCCTTCCGGTCCGGACGCTTCCCCCCCCCCCCCTTCCGGTCCGGACGCTTTCCCCCCCTTCCGGTCCGGACGCTTTCCCCCCCTTCCGGTCCGGACGCTTTCCCCCCCTTCCGGTCCGGACGCTTTCCCCCCCTTCCGGTCCGGACGCTTTCCCCCCCTTCCGGTCCGGACGCTTTCCCCCCCCTTCCGGTCCGGACGTTTCCCCCCCCCCCCTTCCGGTCCGGACGCTTCCCCCCCCCCCTTCCGGTCCGGACGCTTCCCCCCCCCCCCCTTTTGGTCCGGACGCTTTCCCCCCCCCCCCTTTTGGTCCGGACGTTTCCCCCCCCCCTTCCGGTCCGGACGCTTTCCCCCCCCCCTTCCGGTCCGGACGCTTTCCCCCCCCCCCCGGTTCCGGTCCGGACGCTTTCCCCCCCCCTTCCGGTCCGGACGCTTTCCCCCCCCCCCCCTTCCGGTCCGGACGCTTTCCCCCCCCCTTCCGGTCCGGACGCTTTTCCCCCCCCCCCCTTCCGGTCCGGACGCATTTGCTTTTTTTTTCCCCCCCCCTTCCGGTCCGGACGCTTTCCCCCCCCCCCCCCCTTCCGGTCCGGACGCTTTCCCCCCCCCCTTCCGGTCCGGACGCTTTCCCCCCCCCCTTCCGGTCCGGACGCTTTCCCCCCCCCCCTTCCGGTCCGGACGCTTTCCCCCCCCCCCTTCCGGTCCGGACGCTTCCCCCCCCCCCCTTCCCTTGGCCAATCAGTGATCACATGATCAGGACCTCGCAGAGAGGTCCCGTCCGACAATCGGTGTTTCACTGTGTCCGGAGGACACAGCGAGCACCGGATCGTGGTGCTGCGCACTCCCAGGGAGCGTGCACAAGCAGGGAGCGGGGAGGATGTTTATAAACGTCCACCCCCCCTGCACTGCCCCCGTCTGGCCGTTTTATGTAATAAAAGCCTTTAGAACCTCTTTAGGGGCTGAAACTTCTCTTCCGGGCTGCTCAGTGATCGTACGTTTGAGTAAGGCAGCTTGTAAATATCCTTCCAGGTTCCATTTGTAAACGTCAGATAAGCAGAACCGTGTTTCTTGTTGTTTGTTGGTATTGTGTGCTGCACCCGGACATAGACTCTGCTGTAAAGCGTCCTGCACACATAAAGGACAATAATACGGGTCAGCTGGGCATTCCAGGCCCACTTGGCTTCCGGACATGCTCAGCAATGTCTCCAGGATGTGGCTGGGTGTGAAGGGGACAGAATGCATCCTGCGTTATGACGTCACATAATACTCAACTGCTGGGAACAACTGACGATTGGCAGCATTGGACGAATGTAAACAAGCCACAGGCCCCAAACCTCGAAGGTCTAGGAGTTGCAGCGGACGCATTGTCAAATGATGGCTGGGCGTGACTTTCTGCTTACCGGGTTGGATGTCATATGACGTCCTCTTGGAAAGGCGCCTCCCCACGGGCAATACTGCGGTGTCATTTTGTCACCAGCTGTGTCAACTGGACCCAACCGATGACAGATCACTATACTGGGCCGCTACCATGTGAGCGCTGTGACCAATCACAGCAGATCACATGACAATTGTAAACAATGAATGGCTTCAATTCATACCATTCATTGTGTACAATTGTATTGCTACTTTATTGCCATCATTAGGTGTGAAAGAGATACAATAGTCCCCTCCTGGATATTCTGTGATCTCCTGTGTATATAGGGATCGATCCCTATGAGGTTTTACCATTTGGGCATCACCTGTTCTTCCACCTTAGAACTCAGCCTGGGGGGGGGGGGGGAGAGTTCCCAATTTCGTTTCTTTGCTCTGACTGTCCTTTGTGATGGATGTGGCTGCCTTTGACTCGTGTTTTCTGCTGTCCGTTTCCAGTTCATTCTGGGAGTTGGCCTGGTGATCCTGGTGATCAGCACCTACGCTACCATGACCGTTCCCCAGGAACCGTCGCTGCAAATCAAGTCCGAGGTGCTGGGGAGAGAAGGAATTAAAGACGGGGAGGTGGAGCTGGAACAGAACATTCCCAAAATATCAGGTAATGCTGCAAAAGAAGACAAACCAATCACGACGCATAATGCGGAATCATTTCAGAAGGAATGCAGATCTTCGGTATAAATCGGCAGTTGAGGTGATTGGAGCCGCATTGGGGAACTTGTAGCAATAAGAGTTTAGTGCCGTCTGTGATACTAACATCCACATTTTTAGGACAAGCTTTCAGGGTGTACCCCCTTCTTCAAGGTAGGTAGGTATTAAAGCGGAAGCAAACCGCAACAAAAGAAAAAAAATTGGACCCCAAGCAGTTTAAAGCGGAGCTCCACCCAAAAGAGGACGTTCCGCTTTACGCCTTTGTCCTCCGCTCCCTATTAAGGATTGGCACCTTTTGGGGGGTGGGGAGCAGGTACTTGAATTTGGCAGGTACCCACTCCCACTTCTGCTGCGATCGCCTAGGACAGGGGTAGGCAACCTGTGGCTCTCTAGCTGTTGTGGAACTACATTTCCCATGAGGCATTGCAAAAATTACTAAACTGACAGTTACAGCTATGACTTGCAGAGGCATGATGGATCTTGTAGTCCTGCGGCTCTCAGGTTGCCTACCCCTGACCTAGACGATCGGAAGTGGAAGCGGATGGGTTGGGGCAGGGAGTTCCAGAGGATGGGTGACACCCTGGAGAAGTCCTGGAGGCGGGCATGGGAGGAGGAGACCAGGGAACTAGAGAGAAGGAGGTCTTGTGAGGAGCGGAGTGTGCGTGTTGGGTGGTACTTGGATATTAGGTCGGTGATGTAGTTCGGGGCAGTATGGTGGACGGCTTTGTACGTCAGTGTTAGGATTTTGAATTTGATCCGTTGCGAAATCGGAAGCCAGTGGAGGGATTGGCAGAGGGGGGGGGTGGCGGAGATGGAGCGTTTGGAAAGGTGGATGAGTCTGGCAGCCGTGTTCAGGATGGACTGAAGCGGGGATAGCCAGCGGCGAGGCAGGCCAGTGAGGAGGGAGTTGCAGTAGTCGAGGCGTGATATGATGAGGGAGTGGATGAGCTGTTTAGTGGTTTCTGGGGTTAGGAACGTGCGGATTTTGGCGATGTTGCGGAGGCGGAGTCTGCATGTTGCGGAGGCGGAGTCTGCATGTTGCGGAGGTGGAGTCTGCACGAGTTTGTTAAAGATTGGACTTGGGGCTGGAAGGATAGGTTGGAGTCCAAAATGACACCAAGTACTCTGGCCTGCGGGGCGGGTTTGATGGTGGCATTGTTGGACATGATGGAGAAGTCAGCGGGGGGTGGTGTCCGGGCTGGAGGGAAGACAAGAAACTCGGTTTTGGAGAGGTTCAGTTTAAGGAAGTGGAGCGACATCCAGTCTGATATGTCGCTCAACAGGTGTGTTATTCGGGCGGAGACCGAGGGAGTGAGGTGGGGGGTGGAGACCGAGGGGGTGAGGTGGGGGGGTTGAGAGATAGATTTGTGTGTCGTCGGCATAGAGGTGGTAGTTGAAGCCGTGGGAGTGTATGAGTTGGCCAAGGGAGGAGGTATAGATGGAGAAGAGAAGGGGCCCGAGGACAGAGCCTTGAGGGACCCCAACAGAGAGGGGGAGGTGGTAGCATTATAGGTAACACTGAAGAGCGCGTTGTGACAGGTAGGATGAGAGCCAGGAGAGAGCAGAATCTCTGAGGCCGAGGGAGTGTAGTTTTTTTGAGGAGGAGGGGGTGGCCGACTGTGTCGAAGGCCGCAGAGAGGTCAAGGAGTAGGAGCACTGAATAATGGCCATTAGCTTTGGCGGTTAGCAGGTTGTTGGAGAGTTTTGAGTAAGGCAGTTTCGGTGGAGTGTAGGGGACGGAAGCCGGACTGTAGGGGATCGAGGTGGTTGTTGTCGTTGAGGTGAGAGCATAGGCGGGCGTAGACGAGGCGCTCGAGGAGTTTACATGTAAGTGGCAGCAGGGAGATGGGTCTGAGGTTGTTCGGGTCATTGGGGTCCAGGGAGGGCTTTTTCGGTATGGGGGTGATGTGTGCATGTTTCAGATGGGAGGGGAAAGTGCCGGAGGAGAGGGAGAGATTGAAGATGTAGGTGAGGGAGCGTAGGATGGAGGGGGAGGGAGGTCGTAGGAGTTGTGAGGGGATAGGGTCGAGGGGGCAGGTGGTGAGGCGGGCATCAGAGAGGATCTTAGAGACTTCCTCGATGGTAGTAAGGTCAAAGGTGCGGAGTGTTGGGGGGGTTTCAGTATGAGGAATGTAGGGTGGGGTGGAAGTGGAGGTCAGAGCAGTGGTGGGGCCGTGGGAGAGGGGTGATGAGGGGGGTAGCTGAGTGAGGGGGAAGGGGGTTGGAGGGAGTTTGAGCAGTGACGAAGTCCCTGCGGGTTATGTCGAGGGGGAGGGGGGATGAGGGGGTAGCTGTGTGAGAGGGGACGGGTTGAGAGGGCGTGTGAGTTGCGGCGATGTCCTTGCGAATTGTGTCAATCTTGTTTTTGAAGTGATTGGCAATCTCAAGGGCGGTGAGTGAGGTGCTGGGTGGAGGTGGGGGTGGAGAGAGTAGAGAGTTGAAGGTGGAGAAGAGTCGACGAGGATTGGAGGAGAGGGCCTTGATGAGGGTCAGGAAGTAGGCCTGTTTGGCAGCATGGAGGGAGGAGGTGTAGGTGCGGAAGGCAGATTTGTAGCAGGTGAAGGCTTGTTGGGATTTGGTTTTGTGCCATAGTCGCTCCAGGGCACGACTGTGTCGTTTGAGGGTTTTGGTGTGATCAGTCTGCCAGGGCTGGAGCGGTCGGGGTCTGATGTTGCGTGTGTTAAAGGCGCTAGTGAGTCAAGGGCTGTTGACAGCGTGTTGTTGTAGGCAGTCATAGCCAAGTCGGGGCAGGACAGGGGGAGGATGCGGTCATGGAGTTGATCAGCTGCAGAGTGGAGGGGGGCAGGGGGTTAAGGTTGCGGAGGTTACGGCTGGTAGTAGTGTGACATTTGGAGGGGTAGGCGTTGGAGGACGAGGAGATAGAGAAGGTGATCAGGTTGTGGTCAGAGAGAGGGAAGGGGGTGTTAGTGAGGTTGTGGGGAGCGCAGCGGTTGCAGAAGACAAGATCAAGGATATTACCGTCGGAGTGGGTGGTGGATTGTATGCACTGTGCAAGTGCAAAAGAGGAGGTTAAGTGGAGGAGACGGGCTGTGTCCGGGTTGTCGAGGTTGACAGAGATGTTGAAGTCCCCAAGATGATGGTGGGTAGCTCAGAGGAGAGGAAGAAGGGTAGCCAGGAGGAGAAGTCATCCAGGAGGGGGGTATGGATCCAGGAGGAGAAGTCATCCAGGAAGCGGGGTATGGATCCAGGAGGAGGAGTCATCCAGGAAGCGGGGTATGGATCCAGGAGGAGGAGTCATCCAGGAAGCGGGGTATGGATCCAGGAGGCCGGTATATCACAGCAATCTTCAGGGGGGTTGGGGAGAATAGTCGGACGCAGTGGGCCTCGAAGGAGGAGAAGGATAGGGAGGGGGGTTTGGGAGGACTCGGAAGGTGCTCTGCGGTGACAGGAGCAGACCAACCCCACCACCTTTACGACCATTAGGCCTGGGTGAGTGGGACCAGATGAGACCTCCGTAGGAGAGTGCAGCAGGGGAGGTGGAGTCAGTGGGCTGGATCCAGGTTTCCGTGATCGCTGGGAGGTTGAGGGAGCGGGAAACAAAGAGGTCGTGGATGGCGGTAAGCTTGTTGCACACCGATCGGGCGTTCAGGAGTGCACATGAAAACGGGGGGGAGATTTTAGGGAGCAGGGGGACAGATACTAGGTTGCGGGGGTTGCGGTAGGACATGGAGGCGGGAGGGTGTTGTGAGGGAGGTGGTGGAGGGCCAGGATTCGGGGAGATGTCTCCCCGCGGTTAGGAGGAGGAGAAGGGTGAGAAAGGTGGCATGGGAGCGGGATGTGCAGGAGCGTGAGACACTACTAGTGGAGGTGTTGGGGTCAGAGGGAGAGTGGAGTAATAGGAGGAGGTGGTGGGTGCCGTAGAGGGGTGAAGGAAGCAGTGAGGACACAATATACAAATGTTTGGGAGGAGCAGAGGGATATAGTGAATGGATTTTGGGAACAGAGGAGAGGAAAATGAGAAGGAGGAGTGGAAGAGGCATTTTGGGGAGGTGATGAAAGCAATAATAGGGAGATGATAGCACTGAGGGGGGAGATGTACAAGTTTTGGGGTGGAGCAGAGGGGTAAAGAAATGAGATTTGGGAACAGAGGATAGTAATATGAAGAGGAGAAGAGGGGCGTATTATATAAAGGTACATGGAGTGGGACTCAGGTATGTGAGAGATGTTTCCTTGCAGTCTGTCCAGCGTGCAGTAGAGTTTCTTGCTGTTGTTGTGTCTTCCTGCTGCTTACGTTCTCCTGCTTTAGTTCAACTGCTGTGTTTAACTGCTCTGCACTCATTCAAAGCCGCACTCCATCATAAGCAGCACCCCCATCAGAGACTGTGCCCCCCATCAGTGATCTCCCCCCATCAGAGACTGTGCCCCCCATCAGTGATCTCCCCCCATCAGAGACTGTGCCCCCCATCAGTGATCTCCCCCCATCAGAGACTGTGCCCCCCATCAGTGATCTCCCCCCATCAGAGACTGTGCCCCCCATCAGTGATCTCCCCCCATCAGAGACTGTGCCCCCCATCAGTGATCTCCCCCCCATCAGAGACTGTGCCCCCCATCAGTGATCTCCCCCCATCAGAGACTGTGCCCCCCATCAGTGATCTCCCCCCATCAGAGACTGTGCCCCCCCATCAGTGATCTCCCCCCATCAGAGACTGTGCCCCCCATCAGTGAGATCTCCCCCCATCAGAGACTGTGCCCCCCATCAGTGATCTCCCCCCATCAGAGACTGTGCCCCCCATCAGTGATCTCCCCCCATCAGAGACTGTGCCCCCCCATCAGAGATCTCCCCCATGAGCTGATCTAAATTTATAGGGAGATGCTCAAATGAGCATTCAACTCCACCCCAATTAGAAGCTGATAACACAGCTAATAACAGCTGATAATACTATCACATTATGACAGATTTCCCTGAAAACAAAGCCCTCCATTGGCGCG